CACCAACCAATCAATCAATCAATCAATCAATCAATAAAAAAGAAACAGTCAATCAATGATTTTTTTTTTTTCTATTTATTTTTATTTTTTTGGTAGTCTTCGAAATCCACCCCCCCCCATTTTCGAAATTTTTATGTTTTGTTTTTTGCGAGGAGGTAGGGCCCCGCCCCCCGACTCGAGACCCGTTCCCCGCCCCCCAACCCCCCTCCATGATTCGCGGCGGCATCGGCCGAAAKTTCTCGGCCGGCCCGGCCGCGGCCGGGGGGGTCCCGGCATAAGTCGCCGGCCGCGGCCTGGGCCGAACCAGGCCGCGGCCACCGTGCAACATAGCCTGTTAGCAGTTTCTAATTCAGGCCAATCTAAAGTTCTAAACAAAAAAAACAAAAAAAGACCTTTTACTAGGCTTTTCATTCCCAACCGCACCCAGCATCAATCAGCAGGGTTGATTTTAGCCTTTTTCGTGTATGGCCAGGATTTGTTCCAAGTTAAAACCTTCTCTTATTGCCAGACTCCTCTTAATTCTCTTCTTCTGCGGAAGATCTGCGGCCTATGGCCAGGATTTGTTCCAAGTTAAAAGCTTCTCTTATTGCCAGACTCCTCTTAATTCTCTTCTGCTGTGGAAGCTTTGCGGCCTTTTCTCCTTTCTTACCATTCAAATGCCAAAACCACATTTACCAACGTATAATGTTCAGCACAACCATAACGGGGAGGAGCATGAGCGTGTTTCCGATGTAATCATTTATGACTTGCCAGTGGAATAGGAACCGTACTGACGCTCCCCAGAATGGACATGGAGCCAGGACCGTAAGGTCCTGTTTACCATTAAAACAAAAAAAAAAAAAAAAAAAGTTCAACACAAACCTCCTCCAACTTTTAAGCCTACTTCAAATCTTGGCTTCATTTCTTTCGTGAAGTTTCGTCTGGCGGGAGCGAAGGGAAAGTGGTCAGAGGAAGGGGGATCACAAGCAGCTTGGATCGGGGCTCACCTGATTGTACTTGGCAAGCCGCTCACTACGGCAAGGGGCCCCAGCCTTTATCTGCCCAGTCGCTAGACCCACCGACAAATCAGCCAGAAAAGAATCTTCTGTCTCTCCGCTGCGATGAGAAGCCATCACTCCCCACTTTGCATCTTTGGCCATTCTCACAGCCTCGATTGCTTCAGTTACCGACCCAATCTGGTTCACCTGGTCAATCACATTCATGGCCAAATGCAATCACGAAACCGTCAGAAACCAGATATATCTGCCACTTAAAAGTTAAAAGTTAAATTCCAAAATGTCCTGAACAAGCTTAGACTCGAGCACCAAATGGTTTTGTGAGGAAACATACCTTCAAGAGCAGTGCATTACAGGTCTTGTTCTCAATTGCAGCTGCCACTCGCTTAGGGTTAGTGACAAGGAGATCATCACCAACCACCTGCCACAACCAATCAACAAGTCAAAAACGAGGAGATTAGCAGAACGCCAAAGACGACCAACCTTTTTGAACTGCCTGATGGGGCATGACGCAGAGCATGAAAACAGACGTCCAATGAGACAACGTGGACAGACTGAAACAACATACCAAGAGTTAGAAAAGATGATTGACAGAAGGCCAAAGACAGGGTTTTACCGTGTCGTTTTTTTTCATACCGTACCTTTTGTTCTTGGCATCTCTTGGTTTTAGCATTTCGCAGGGATCAGCCGTGTCCCATTTCTTGCTTTTGATAATCTGGTCAGACCCCAAAGGCCCTTGGCTGGTTTTCGGGCCCTTTCGGCTCGGATAGCCCGGCATCAATATTTTTTCGGCGCCAGCGGGCCCCGAACCTTCTAATGGAACTAGGACTGAGTCTGTTTTTGGGGGGTATTGTCCCCGGTACCTCCGAGCGGTTTTTGGGTCAGGTACCGTGTCATATTGGACCTGCTATTTGTCTTGATGTTTCTAGAACCTTGGTTAGCTTAACTTTAGGTACCTCACGAGTAGTATATATAGATTGGTGTCGATTACTTCGACCTCTCGGGTTAGCCGAAGGACTAATGTCCGGTGGCGGGTTTAACGGATTGGCGGAGGATCTTTGGGTTGGATGGACTGTTGTGTTGGACGCAACGACTATTTTAATCTTCATCAATCAATCTCTGAGTGGTTTTTGACTACTTGTGACCGTGTGCATCTTCTACGTGTGCATGTTTCCATATCCCCAAAGACAGTCCAGCTTTTTGCTCTACCAGACTCGAACCTTTTGTGTTGTCAGAGAAAAAAAGACGTCCAATCTTTATACTGCTTGAGACAGCGTGCGCAGACTGAAACAACATATCAACAGATAGAAAAGAAGATTAACAGAAGGCCAAAGAGTCGGGCTTTTTGCTCTACCTGACTTCAACTTTTTGCGTTGTCAGAGAAAACGGGCACAGACGATTAGATTTCCCATTCCATGTAAAAAAACATGCCATGGAACTCGGAACATTTTTGTTGGACCTTTACCTACCTCGGCCGAGTCCATGCACTCTTATTCTGCCCACAAAGACTTCGCCTGCTTTTCGAGAAGCATTGAAGTCTTCGTCCTGAAAATGACCAGCTTGGTATATATGCTTTCAGAACTTGCAAGCTCAAGAAGCTTATCCAAAAAGGTCTCGTAAAATTTTGGCAACTGCTGTTGTCAGGTACTCCACGGTACTGTGTTCACCCGAATAGAATGCCTGGTCATTACAGCCGTATTTGTGGCAACTTCCCGTCCAGATGCGGCAATAATGACCGGGTGTTCTATTCCGGTGAAGAAAGTAGCCCTTGTCGCGCAGCCAGGCAGAGTGCTCAAAGCTCGACACTGGCCAGTCTATGGACACTGGCCAGCAGTGCATGGGCCTCACTGCTTCCGTCTCTTGCCCTCCGACTGCAAGGGACGGACTCTCCTATCACATTCTCATGCTGCACGCCAGCCATGCATTACGAGTCACATCCTGAGACTGGCTTGCAGTGGCACAGATTCAATAAATATGGAGCTAAGCACTATGACACGGATATACCTGCCATTTAATACAATGCACGATAACTCCGTCCCGTTGAAGCACCCACACCACTGACGGGCCAAGAAACATGTAGCACATCTTGGCAGAGATCTTACAGGGTAGCATAAAGGTAAGCGATGCTGGGTGGCCCTAATCTGAAGATGTGGTCTCAGGCTACAGCAGCACCGAGTTCAGCACACGAGGATGCTAGCCCCCCCCTTTCGTTCAGATGCTTTCCACAGGCAGATCGAACTTGCACAATCATGTGGCACAGTCTCTCCAGTGATCTGCCACCTCAGTCTCTCCAAGCTATGTGTGCAGTGATCTCGCATCCACATGCTCTCCTCTATTGCAGAGCCGTCCGGATTAGTGCTTCTGTGCTCTGGAAACGTCCGCTACTCTCTGCCTTCATCAGGCCTTACTTTTCTCTAAGATTCGACTTCTCACTGTTCTCAGTAACATTTGCAGTACATGTTCCCTTTTGGTTCTCTCTGTAGGAATGGCGCTTGGCCTACCATATGAATTTTAGCACCCATAGAGGGATGGCAGTTTATTCTCACAACCCATTTGCACTACCTTTTCCCTTCTGTTGCTCAAAAGATGCATGGTAAAGACTACTACTAGTTTTTCTCACGTTGACCGTAAATAGAACATAGGCATAACTCAGTTGGTCTGACACAGATCGTCGATCCCTGATGAAAGCAAATAAGCAGCCACCGAGGATGTGTGTATGGAAGGGAGGTGCGCAGCAGCAACACACCTGGCAGATATCGAGGGCAGTCAGTGCCTTCGTGTTCTCCATATCGTCCTGATCAAATGGATCCTCAATTGACACTATCGGGTAATCTGAACAGTGAAAACACCAAAAAATGACACCAAAATTACAAGAAGGCAAATAGCATCGAAAAAAGAGGGCCCCATAACATCAAGGGGAACCCAAATGCAAAATTTCCACCTTCAGAGAGAGCAAAGCACTAATCACTAAGAAAACCCCATGGGCATCGGGGCCAACGTTTGTAACAACTTGAACCGCTGGTACGTCTCTTGCGACCGATAAAGTGACTGGACAGGTGCTAAGTTGAGAACACATGGGCAAACAGAGTTGCTCCAGAATCGATGACTTTTTGCAGATTTCAGTGTCATGGGCCAGGGGACTGCTCTCGTACCCAACAGTCCGTCCATACATTATGACACAGAGGTTGCTCCCGGTTTTCAGACGCAGCCAGGAACCTAAGACCTGGGGAGTAATGTCTGGCTTTCAAAAAGGATAAAGTAATTTTCGAGAAGCGAGACCAGTGGCCTGGCCCTTAGTCAAGACCACTTCTCCACATGTAACCATTGCCCCATCAAGAACCGCCAATGAACATCTGCCAAAAGCGATCCCTGGCTCAACGCACGGCAAACGTGACACCTGCTGATCATTTATGACAGAGACTGGCAAGCAATCACTTCCATGGCATACAATGGCTAATTGCTTCACGTCATCAGAAGAGTCACAATCAGCATACAATCATTATCATTCAAAAAATTGGGCAAATCATACTGTACTGCAGTCAGCATGGTGTATAAACTGTAGTGTAAAAATATCATGACCGACACAAGACGAAGTTGCACCAGTCCCTAAGGTCTGTTTGCTACGTTCAGCTAAAAGACAAGCTGACAGGCAACCAGTGCTAGCAGGAGCTTTCCTTACTCAGCCATTTCCTGTGCCATCATTGCGATCCAAAGGATAGCGAAAGTATAGAAGACAACACATATGTCAGAGTAGGCAATACAACCACAAAACATTTAAGCTATCAGCATTGCTGTTCATCCAACGACAGTGCCAGGTTGCAGCAAAGGAGGTGGTGATCTCATGTAGAAAAACTTCCCTCATCTTACTCTTCCAGGCCCCAGGGTCTGTTCTTTACTACAACAGAGCTCCATCTTGGCCTGCTTGTAGCAAAGAAAAGACCGGTTCCGATACCCTTGCAAAAAGCGGTGGTGGTCAAGCGTTTGAGGATCTGTATGAGGCCAGGTGGCTCAACTTTACATAACTCGAAGTCCTTATCAGCAGGTTAAGATTTTGAGCCCATTCAATGCGAAGCGGAGAAGAGGGCTAAGCATGTTAAAAGATACTAGCTTCTATTCATTTACCCTGTTAAAACTTAAAAGATACTAGCATCCAATCATTTCCAGTGCTTCTATTCATTTCCAGCTGCAGCTCAAACTGATGCTCACCTCTGCAAAACTCGGCGTACATCTGCAACAGCTCTGGCCCTGTCCTTTTCTGGTTTCCTTTATTGTTTGGTGTCTTGAAATCCAGGTCATAGAAGTTGTCCTCTGGAACCATTGTGCAAGGAACAAAGTCAGTCACATGAACAGCTCGACCACAGCGCACACGACTCTGAGCTAGAAGAATAGTGGCTAATATGCCATAAAGGGCTTGTTGTTTTAAACCAGCTAATATAGCATGATGAGCCCAAGTTACAGCAGCTCCAGATGAAAGTAGAATAAGAGTATTTAGAAAGGGGATTCCCCAAGGATCTAACACACCAATACCTTTTGGAGGCCAAATAGCTCACGTTTGGGGCAAAAGGATAGACAAAGAGCCAAACTACTTGACCAAGGACTATTCCATTCTTTTCCGCCCCCCCTCTCTCTTTCTTAAAAACGGCCTTGAGATATCATCACTGAACTGGCCAGCCCCAGGCAATTCAAAGTGATTTTCTTCTGGTCATCTGATTGTATCAGGATTCGAACGTGGGTGTGTACTTCAACAGTTCGTCCGGTATACCAACTGAGCCATGTCCGTTGGCAAGGAACTATTCCATTCTATATGTTGAAGATCTGTTACTTTGTTTCCATCTTATGGCACAACTTCAAGGCTGTTCACGCACACAGTACCTTATCATGCAAACCTGTGAGACGGCAGATGGTTGATAGTATGATTGTGTCAAATTTGACTCAAATATATTTATGGAGCGCCTTTTAAAGTCCCTTCAGCAATGCTTGCAGCATGACAAGCTTTGGTTACAGATAACCTGATGATGCCCTTGGTAGTCAAATGTGATGTTGCACTTCTTGTACGAGGCAAAAGTTGGCTATTGTGCGCATCGGTCAAGTAACCTGAGGCGACGAGGAGACTAAAGTGCGAGATACAAAACCAATGTGGCCAGAGAAAGTACTCCCAGAGTAGGAACTCCACATGCTCCAACGAGCCACTAAGTGAAACTTCTAAAATTTTGGATCTTCCACGCTCAGAGACACCTCTGTTACGTAACTGGTTTTCGACACAAACTTCAAAAATTTTGGATATTCCACCCTCAAAGTGAAACTCGACACACAAACTCCCATCTCAGCCATCTGCTGTGCCAGCATTACCCTACAGAGACACTTTCGTGCTCTGAAGGTAACTTCTTGACCTGAAGCCTCCAAATTCATCCCCCTACATGGCCAGCAACTCACCTTAGAGGTAACAAGTTGATGTGGACTAGAGATCTGTGGATAATATAAATACGTAAAGCTCAGAGATTTGAAGAAAGCTAGGCTGTGCCCAGGATTTGGGCCAGCAGACCACATTATTAAGAGTGTTTTCACTGAAAAAGATGACAGGTAAATACATAGTGATTAATGAACATCAAAGTTCAACCTTCACAAATGACTTTCCACCAATTCCACAGCCTTCTGGACCTAGCGACGAGTCACGTCACGTATCTAAGGGGAAAAAAAATCAAAAAACCAAATGCCTTGATCTCTCCACGAATGGCACCACTAGGCGATGGAGAGAAATCATGCTACAGAATTCACAGGGTCAACAAACTACATCTCAGAGAGAGACAAATGTCTAGAAATTTGTAATTAGCGGATGTAAAACTCCGCACATCAAAAAAAAAAAAAAAAAAAAAAAAAGAACAGAACCCTGTCAGCAAACATCAGCGAATCACCAACAAACGCCAATTCTGAAACAACCCAGAAGCCAACTGGCAGACAACAGTCATACCAATGACCATTACAAGCGCCATACATAAGTCACACAAAAAAGTTTTGTGAAACAATCAGAACAGAAGCTGAACAAGATGGTCAAGTTGGCATATATTCTTTTTTTTTCTTTTTTCAAACCAACTCAGGGGCCCTTCCATTTTGGGGGGGCAACAGTCCAGTTAGTTATCCCCAGCAAGCAGAAACCAAAACAGGTTGGCATAGATTTTCTATGATTCATAGACTATCATCTTCATGAAGTACGGCTGTGACTTTTACAGAATAACCAAATATCAACACCAGATCCCCCAAATAGCCTGAACGGTCACCGAAACAAAAAGGCTCATTCTAACCTTCACCCATGAAAAGATTAGAAAAGGTGCAAGGGTCCACACATGTGTGTGGTTGAGCGGGAAGCACCCATGCATCCACAAGCTTGACACACACACACGAAAAAAAGACAGATCAGGAAGACACTAGCCCATTACAGTCGGCACTTATCAGAGTGATAAGAAATAGACAACCCCTGGGACAGCCAATCACTCCAAAATGGGAGAGTGAAACACGTACCCATACTTCGGTGACATCGTGTGACATCAACGCCACAACCAAAGCATTACTATCACACCATAAAGCACCATGGGCTAGAGCCTGCTTCTCTAGAAGCCGCAGCCCATGACTCTTTAACCCTCAGTATGTGCTCTCTGAGCCCATCCACAAATGCCATACACAAACAAGAATAACAGGGATGCACTGCACATGGCCATGATCTGCACCCCTCATGCGACACCAGGAGCTTCACAGCCTAAAGCTCCTTGGTGCCCCTGAAACCATAATTCCCCCCAAAAGCGCCATCACGAGGGAATGGCCAAGGCACATATCCAGCACCAAGTTCAATTTCAAAGTGACATTTGCTAATTCGAGTCACATCCCGACAAAAGCACCAGCAACAGTCTAATTGTTTACCTGTGTGGAATTCGCTGGCTGCAACATCCATCCCTATTCTGATCTTCCCAGTGTGTCCTGCTCGCTCAATTGCAGAAACAATTAGGTCAAGCGCTTCCTTGTTACTGCAGCCATCCAGCATCGAACACACCCATCCATCCACAGGCCCCCAACCCATCCACCTTCAACTCCAACTCAAAGACTCCGTCCTCACGTTCACATTCTCACTTCAACCTTTCCCAATTTCACGCACAGATCCAAGCGCAATGAAAAAACGTGTGTAAATCAAGGTGCAGTCGCTTGGCAAAGCCAAATCACCCCTTGCCTGCAGGTAACCCCACCACCATTTTCCTAAGGGTAACCCCATCCCCCTTCCCTGCAGGTACCCTCAGGTCACCCTCATGCAGGTTGCCATTCAGTGCTTACGGGATGGAAGATACACTCCAGAGTCCAGAATCAATAAAGAAGACGAGAAACAATGAAACAGCACCAACGACAGATCCCTTACCAGTCAATGAAGTCAGTTTGCTGCTGTTCAGGAACAAGTGATCCATGATACACAGTACCTCACATTAAAGCACTCTTATTTTCTACATCCATTGTACCCCAATTAAAGCACCCTGACATTCTACATCCATTTCGGCAGGAGGCCATGGTCACAACCCTCAAGTGGACCTCAACTGCCTTCAACCACCAGTACATGGCACCAGCCAAGATGAGAATCCGATTGAGCCTCTGTTAAAATTTTGGAGGCTCGGGACAGGGCTTCCAAAGGGCCAGTACAAAAGAAATATTGTCCCATACCATGGGGCGGCGCTACCATCTTCACCCGAATACTGGAAGTTGCACCACATACAGCTATAATGATGGTAGGCCCATCCCTGACACATCCGGGGCGGGCCCTTTTCTGAGTCCCCTATATTTTCGGAGAGGCTCATTCAGATTTTCCAGCTGTACTGGTGGTTTAAAGCACTAGTACAGCTGGGCCGCACGCCTGACACCTGGAATTCTGCAAGGCTGAAACGTAAACGCGACGGCTGATCCAATTTATCAACAGCAGGCCCAGTGTTTGACATTTCAGCCTCGTTTTCTTGTGGCGACAAGTTTCAGACTGCAAGGCTGGGGCCGTGTACTAGTGGTTTAATCATCATACACAGACAGAACGTGTTCAAGCAGTGTTAACTCCAAAAAGATTGATTTTGGACACTTTGTTGTGCAGAAGCAAACTGGATTTATCGGCACAGAAAGAGCAGTTCTTGCCATATTGAGGGCAACAGCGGACATGAACAAAACATATTTCCATAGAAGCATGTGGTTCCCATCTATTAGCACTCGAGCACAAGACAGCACAATGAATTTCTGCGCAGACCACTGCAGTTCACAGTCACCTCCAAAAACTGAGACACCAGTACACAATTTTGCAATCAGCCTCCCCACAGAAGCAAATCATATTTCAAAGTCATGTTTCTCCCATTCCCATCGTCATACTTTCGACCATCACTGCATTTAGTCAGAAAACGGACATAGGGACCACAGTTGCAGGAGAAGTCCATGGCACTATTCCATCCCACAGGCAACGGTGTATGATCTGCAGCGGAAAGGTGTCAACATACACTCCAAGAAAATATTGTAGTTCACCATGTCTGATGCCTCCTACCTGGAAATGTTTGGTGCAAATCCACCCTCATCTCCCACATTGCACGCATCTTGCCCATATGTCTCCTTAATGACTGCCTGTGCAAGGAAAACCACATCTTATGAGTCAATCAGTTGTACCAGTCAAACTTGTGGTACATCTTATGAGCCAATCAGTTGTACCACACACACACACACACACACACACACACACACACACACACACACACACATCTTTGTTGCTTCCATCCAAGTGAAACTGCTACAGCCTGAAAAGGACAAGACATTTGACCTCCAGCTTCAGCCACTGTACTCCTGAGAATGCAACCCTCTTCATCCCAGCTCTCTCTCTCTCTCTCTCTCTCTCTCTCTCTCTCTCTCTCTCTCTCTCTCTCTCTCTCTCTCTCTGTGTGTGTGTGTGTGTGTGTGTGCGTGTGNTCTCTCTCTCTCTCTCTCTCTCTCTCTCTCTCTCTCTCTCTCTCTCTGTGTGTGTGTGTGTGTGTGTGTGCGTGTGTGTGTGTGTGTGTGTGTGTCTGTGTGTGTGTGAGAGAATATAGTGACATACTCCATACCATTACACCTTAAGCACGAATTGAGGACCATCACCATCACCACCACATATCAGGCTGCTACAATGGGAAGAAGAATAAAACAGCATAGTATTTATCTGAGTATGCCATGAGCTACATACAGAATAGCGCAATAGGAGCTTGGGACTAAGCCATAGGCGTCTCTCTATATGATGACATGATCTGCATACACAGGATTGCACAATACGAGTTCAAGTGAAAAGTACCTATTTCGGAATGAACTACAGTACTCTTTATCTATGATGACATGTTCGGAATGAACTACAGTACTCTTTATCTATGATGGCATGAGCTGCACTGACAGGACTGCACAGTAAGAGTTTGCATGGTTATCAAGTACAGTGTCCTACTCGTACATACCAAGTACACCAAATTCCGCATTCACCACCTCCCAATAGCAAATCAGCCAACCTAGCATTATCCTACAAAAAAAAAAAAAGGATGACATTATCCTACAAAAAAAAAGAATTTAGGTTTGCCATAGCTTTGCGACAGAGGATGAACAATCACTGCCACACACAGCGCCGGCCACCGAACCACGGAGACTTGAATAGCCCATCACATGGAGTCTGACCTTAAGGTGATGATATGTTTCAGTCCCAATCTGCATGGCCTCCGAGAAGCTCCCTGCCCCAACTGGCAAGATCATGAACTCCTGCAAACATTTCAAGACGAGCAGGGAAAATGGACTTTTGTTAAGGCATGTAATGGAAGCCTTCTTAATGAAACAGCCTCGTTCAGCCATAGCACATCCTCACCCTCAGACAGAGAAATTGAAAGAATGCATGCTTTGCTTGTCCAGCTGAGCACACACTCTAACTACATGTGGGAGTGCCACCCCCACCCACTCCCACGGAGACGTTTCACGACAAACAGGGATGATGGACTTTTGTCGAGGCAGGTACGGAGGCCTTCCTTTATGAAACAAGCTTGTTCGGCCGGAGTACACCCTCACCTCCAGACACAGAAATTGAAAGAATGCTGAACGTGCTTTGCTTGTCCAGCCGAACACACGCTCTTCTTTGATGTGGGAGTGACCCTCACCCCGCCACACACAAATTGAAAGAATGCCGAACATACTTTGCTTATCCGGCCAAGCACACACCATCACTAGATGTGGCAATGACAGTGCGTGCTCGGCTGGGTTCAGGGCTTACCTTTCCCAGAGCTCAGGAAAACCTAGGGGCTCACTAAAGGGAAACAGAAGGCATGGAATATAGTATGTACATTCGACTCTTTGTTATTTACTAACACTCAATTCTTACATGATAGAAAAGTGTGGCTCCGCCGCTCATGTTAAAAAGGAGACAGAAAACAGGATTAATGAGTAGGAGAGGGAGGAGGCAAATTTACGGATCCAGTAAGGACCAGTGGCAGTTTGCACATAAAGGGAAACAGAAGGCATGGAATATAGTATGTACATTCGACTCTTTGTTATTTACTAACACTCAATTCTTACATGATGGAAAAGTGTGGCTCCGCTCATATTAAAAAGGAGGCGGAAAATAGGATTAATGAGTAGGAGAGGGAGGAGGCAAATTTACGGATCCAGTAAGGACCAGTGGCAGTTTGCACATATCCAAAAGATTTACAGCCATTGTTAATACCCGTCCGGCACAGTCAAGTATTGAATTCAAAGTTTGGAAGATACAGAAAGAAACAAATTTTGTGAGAGGGGGTCCACCAACGTAAAGGAGCGGGGAAGGAAGATTGTGAGAAGTAGAAAAAGACATATTTGACGGTTCTTTGCAGCGAAATGCAGAGGAGAGTCGAAGACGTGATCCTGGCATTATTTCACGATGGCTTAACCATGGACGTGTAGAAGGGGAAGTATCGCACACAGAAAGGTAGGCCGAAATCCCAGAGAGCCCGGTGGAGATGCGTGTTGACAAGGAGCCGGTAACCATCTGGAGAAGACCAGGAGGTAAGAAACTGCGATTGCTATTTCTCTAGCGGATCAGGACAATCTTGGTGACGAGGAGCTGTGAAGTTGATATAGATCGGGTTTGACTGTGGATTGTTTAGCAGAGGCATTTGTCTGAGAGAGGAGGCATTTGACTGTGGATTCCAATTTGCAAGTACGTCAGGTTGGTGGAACAATGAGCAAGAGAATGATGAACAGGGAAGGAAATTCAAGAAGAGCGGACATTTATCTGTTTTCCTGAGCTGAAAACACGACGGACACTTGAAAAGCTGATCAAAACGAATTCCATAACGGTTTAGGTCACAAGGAGTGGGTGGCACGAAATGGAGGAACTTTTTGCCAACAGAGAGCACCAAACGAATACACAGGCAGAAATCCCAGTGATGCAAAGGAATGACTGTGGGACAACACTAGGTAGGTGTATGCAGAGACGGGGAGCAATATGCTCAAAGCAAAATGCTTTCCAAGGACGTGAAGACGGGGAGCGAGCAGACTGAAAGAAACAGAGAGGGAAGGAAATTGAAGAAAAGCGGACAGAACCGAAATCTCATAGTTGATGTAAAGAGCTGAACAAAAACGAATTCCATAACGGTTTAGGTCACTAATGGGTGGCAGACCAGACAGCAACAAATGAATATACAGGCAGAAATCCCAGTGATGGAAATGAACGACTGAGGAACAACAGTGGGTAGGTGTATGCAGAAACAGGGAACAAAACAAAACTAATATTGAATAAAATCTAGAAGGGGCACATTTGCCAAAGACGAGAAAGAGATGGAGAGAGAGCAAACCGCAGGAAACAGAAAGGGACAGCTCAACACCTGGTCGGGGCAAGAGAGAGAGAGAGGAGGATGAAGAGGTCAGCACTGGGAGAAAAACAGATGAAGAGACGGTGAGAGAGAGAGGGGGAGAGAAACAGAGCAACAGATGAGAGAGAGAGAGGGAGGGAGAGAGAGAGAGAGAGTGGCCACTAGAGCGCCGGGGGCAAGAAAGAGAGAGAGTGTTGCATACTTTAATGAGTATGGGCAGAACCAAAGATCAACCAATGTAGGATGAGCATATATGCAGCGGAAGTCTGATGAACGGACTGACTCACATAGACTGACTCACATAGCATCACTCCACACACATACAATAGTGCGGTGGTGGGGTCTGAGCCATACAATAGTCTGAAGATGCTCAGCCCCCGTACACACATACACAGATGAATGGGGAAGGAGAGACGAAGAGGTGGGGGAGGTAGACAGCACCGAAAGTCACCGAGATAGAATCTGATAGGTCACCGATATGGTAGTCCAAAATGTCATCCAACAAGAT